TTACTCCAAATCCTCCATATCAGGCACATACACAACATACCAGAGATGTCAAAAGGAATTCAGAGATAGCAGCAGCCAGGTTACAAAAACCAGAACAGACTGTATGAGTTAAAAGGATAACAAGCTAATAATTCAAAAAAACTCAGTTGGCTGGGTTTTTTTTGTGTGAATTCTACTGCTGACCTACAGTGAATATCAAGACTTTAAATATAATTTCTTCAGCAAATTTAGTTTTAAGCAGAGCAGAAGGACACGTGGAACAAAATGCTCTGAGTGCAAGTGTGAGTCTCGGTATCACATACTTTGGTGTGTGTTACACTCAGGAGATGCGGAGGTGCACTTTACCTCACACCTGATTACAATCTTTTGGAGAATAAAAGCCTGGGAGTTCTCACATACAAACAAAGAACTGAAAATCAGGAGACAAGGACCCCGGTAACACCGTGCTAAACTCAAAACAAGCTACACCTTCAACACCCCACCTTCCCCTAAAAGCTTCAAATAAAGGAGTTATCTGGGAACATTCCTGCTCTAAAAAGCCTGCAATTCGCTAACATTAACTAATAAGGCAGAAGGGATGATTCATACCTGCTTAGAAACAAAAGGCCAGCCCACAGGAGGAACTCCCATCACGTCAGAGGCAGCACAGTTTAATCACGACATGGATGCAGGACCTCATCCTGTCCCAGATCCTTCCCCAGCTGCGGGATGCGTGAGCCCCACAGGAACTGCCCATGCATGGCAGCAATCGAAACTGCTTGGCTTTCAAGGATTACATAGTTTCAACATAATTCACTAATAAAAGTTTAAAAAGCCAACAACCTCACCCTCAGCTTGGAGTAAATGTTGAATCTTACAACAAGCAAAGGGCCAGATTTTCCAATGTGTGATATTTATTTTTTCCATGTTATTTTATACATATTTGGTGCAAATACCAAGAGACTCATAACCCTCTTGCATTTCCTAACACGGTTTGCTCAATACTATTAGAAAGCAGGTAAAAGACAAGTTCAGCTGTACAATTCCATTATCTGAATCCCTGAAATGTCTGCATTTTCTATCAGATGCTGCACTCCATCCCATGGAAGAGGCTTGCACTGGATGTTCTAGAGACGAGACGCTGGAAGAGTAACTTAAGCAGAGAAAGCTCCTTGCCACCTGAGCTCTTTACAGCCTGTGCTGTTCCCCTGGAACTCCCCTGGGAGCCATGGCAGCACACCAGGAAGGCACCCAGGATGCTCATTCAACACTCATTTATGGGGCACGTTTTTAAGTCCTCTGAAACACAACATAAAGCTGCTCTATGCAAGTCTCCATTGCTGACAGAGCACGAGCTGCAGTGACCTTCTCTGGCTTACCAGTTACTAAGATTTTACTCAGAAAAAAATACTATTCCAAATCATGAGAGAGGGAGAAAACCTGAATTTTACTATATAGAGAACTAGAAGCTTATTTTGGGGTTTCCATACCATCACTAGGAACTCTAGACCAGGGTATAAAGTTTTATTTTCCATGACAAGAAAATGGGCAGACTGGAATTCAAGTTCTATGGGGAATCGCCAGGGTGAGCTCAGAGCAGTTACCCAAACTGAATAAACTAAACTAACAAAAGGATTGTGCTCATATAACTGCAACCACAGTTGGGCTGTGCTGGCCCAGCCTTGTCAGCTGAGGCACAATTATTGATTTGGAATATCTAAATAAAGAGCTGTACATCACCGAGCAGCCTTCAAAGCCCAAGCCACTCCACGGGAATGGCTCCTTCCACCTCCCCCACAGGCCCTTCTTCCTTCTCTTCAGAATCGCTCATTTTCATAGAAGAAAGATGACTCCTCTGCAGTATTAAATTGAGGTGCTGTTCAATAATGTAATAGCAACAAGTAGTTCTAGGAATGCCTTGAATCCTGCTCCATAATATGCACTTGAGGGACAATCCTTATTCATTAGGGCTGCACTTCTCTCTACAAATACCTGGAATACATCACATGGCTGACTCCCTAAATATATTTTAAATCAAGGAACACACACAGCGGGGAAACAGTAATCTTAGAGTTTTGGGTGAGGAAACAAGTGATTTGGGTTTGTAAGCACATCATACTGATTATTTTCAACCTTATTAAAGCATAAATAAAAGACTTCACCATCACAGTACTAACTTAACTGGTATTTGAAATAACAGCTACCAGATATTCCTGTGCTTGCTGCTTTAGGCCACATGAAAAATGAACACTTGAAAGAAATCATCCTTATTCAAGCTGTAGAGACCAACCACACACTCTCCAGAAGTTCCAGCACTACGATGCCTTATCCTTAACCTTCCACACAGCTCAAGTCCTGACTGCTTCACCCGCACTGCTACTCTAACACTTCACTAGCAGGAAAGGAGGGGACAGAACACAGGCTGCTCCCCACTTTAAAAAACAACCCAAGAGATCCATGTGTCCACCAATGGAAAGCACATTTCCACGTGGATACACTTGCCATCCACCTAGGCAATGAAAAAGGAGTTTTAACTCAACATTTCTTTAACTAATAGACCTTCCACCTCAAACTGTACATTCAGCAGTTTTACAATTGGAAATTATTACAAATATAAAGCAGAACAAAAAAAAAAAAATCCAATCTCCCTCAGAATAGCAAAGCTTTACCAGAAATCTTTACCTAACCAGTAAATATAAACTAAAAACAGAAGAGATGGGGATACAGGTATGGGAGAATTTACAGAGCTGGACAAAGCTGTGAGCAGCTGACACCGGTGAACACACAGGTACACACTCCTGAAACACTGCCAGGGTAAAAGTCTCTCGGGGCCTCGAAGAGAAGGCAAACTCCACTTTTGGATACGGTAGCCAGGGCTCGCCTCTACCTCTCCTGTAAGCCTACACTGCACCGCACAAAAAGCTACAGAAAGACATGATCATTAAAGAGAAAAAGGTAACTACAGAAACAGTCACTAACAAACGCACTCATTGCAATTCGGACAAGAGCGGGTTTTGACGCTGGGGAATTATCACAGAACTGTTAGGGCTGGAAGGGACCTCTGGAGATCGTGTCAAGTATGTCTGTAATCACCTCTTTTGGCCCAGTGATCTCACGCTTTCCCCATAACACATATTTCTCCGTACGTCTTTTAGTCTGTCCAGAAACTTAGGAGCCAACCCCAATTACCTGGGTTTTTTTTTAAACCGTCTACATTTCCTCCCCGCAGACATCGCAGCCAGCGAGCGACCCCAGCACCTCCGGCAGCCGGCGGCCAGAGGCACAGGTGTGGAGGAAGCGCCGGGGCCCGCCCGCCGAGCCCGGTGGCCTGCGGAGCGCTCAGGCCGCGGCGGGGCCGTGCCCCGGCGCTCCTCGGGCAGGTGAGTCAGCAGCTGTCCCCGTCCCCGTGCCCGCAGCGACACCGCGGCCCGACGGCCCCGCGGGGCCGGCC